TTTTTAAACTAAACAAAAAAGTTAATATCCAATTGTGTGAAAAGATAAAAGATTGAGAGCATTGATTTCAACGATATAACCCTCAAAGCATGTTAACCCAACGCTAGTCCATCAAGGTTATCATGCACATCCCTTGCATCGTTATGCATCAACTCTTGATTAGGAAACCTCAAAGAATGTTAACCCAACTCTAGTCCATCAAGGTTATCATGCACATCCCTTGGGTCGCTAAGCATAAACTCCTGATTAGGAAACCCCAAAGCATGTTAACCCAACTCTAGTCCATCAAGGTTATCATGCACATCCCTGCATGTCTTTAAACTAAAACAAAAAAGTTAACATTCAATTGTGTGAAAACATAAAATATTGGGAGCATTAATTTCAACGATATAACCCTAAACCCTAAACCCTATGTTGGCTTCTTGTCCGGCACAACATTTTTTATCAGGAGCCGAAGCATTTTCGCCTGCATGTTTTTAAACTAAACAAAAAAGTTAATATCCAATTGTGTGAAAAGATAAAAGATAGAGAGTATTGGTTTCAACGATATAACCCTCAAAGCATGTTAACCCAACTCTAGTCCATCAAGGTTATCATGCACATCCCTTGCGTCATTAAGCATCAACTCTTGATCACGAAACATCAAAGCATGTTAACCTAACTCTAGTCCATCAAGGTTATCATGCACATCCCTTGGGTTGTTAAGCATCAAATCTTGATTAGGAAACCTCAAAGCATGTTTACCCAACTCTAGTCCATCAAGGTTATCATGCACATCCCTGCATATTTTTAAACTAAACAAAAAAGTTAATATTCAATTGTGTGAAAACATAAAATATTGGGAGCGTTGATTTCAACGATATAACCCTCAAAGCATGTTAACCCAACTCTAGTCCATCAAGGTTATCATGTACATCCCTTGGGTCGTTAAGCATCAACTCTTGATTAGGATACCTCAAAGCATGTTAACCTAACTCTATTCCATCAAGGTTATCATCTACATCCCTTGGCTCGTTAAGCATTAATTCTTGATTAGGAAATCTCAAAGCATGTTAACCCAACTCTAGTCCATCAAGGTTATCATGCACATCCCTTTGGTCGTTAAGCATAAACTCTTAATTAGGAAACCTCAAAGCATGTTAACCCAACTCTAGTCCATCAAGGTTATCATGCACATCCCTGCATGTCTTTAAACTAAAAAAAAAAGTTAATATTCAATTGTGTGAAAACATAAAATATTGGGAGCATTGATTTCAACGATATATCCTTAAAACCTAAACCCTAAACCCTATGTTAGCTTCTTGTCCGGCACAACATTTTTTATCCGGAGCCGAAGCATTTTCGCCTGCATGTTTTTAAACTAAACAAAAAAGTTAATATCCAATTGTGTGAAAAGATAAAAGATTGAGAGCATTGATTTCAACGATATAACCCTCAAAGCATGTTAACCCAACTCTAGTCCATCAAGGTTATCATGCACATTCCTTGCGTCGTTAAGCATCAACTCTTGATTAGGAAACCTTCTAAGCATTTTAACCCAACTCTAGTCCATCAAGGTTATCATGCACATCCCTGCATGTTTTTAAACTAAACAAAAAAGTTAATATCCAATTTTGTGAAAAGATAAAACATTGAGAGCATTGATTTCAACGATATAACCCTCAAAGCATGTTAACCCAACTCTAGTCCATCAAGGTTATCATGCACATCCCTTGGGTCGTTAAGCATCAACTCTTGATTAGGAAACCTCAAAGCATGTTAACCCAACTCTAGTCCATCAAGGTTATCATGCACATCCCTTGGGTCGTTAAGCATAAACTCTTGATTAGGAAACCTCAAAGCATGTTAACCCAACTCTAGTCAATCAAGGTTATCATGCACATCCCTGCATGTCTTTAAACTAAAACAAAAAAGTTAATATTTAATTGTGTGAAAATATAAAATACTGGGAGCATTGATTTCAACGATATTACCCTAAACCCGAAACCCTAAACCTAAACCCTAAACCCTATGTTGGCTTCTTGTCCGGCACAACATTTTTTATCCGGAGCCGAAGCATTTTCGCCTGCATGTTTTTAAACTAAACAAAAAAGTTAATATCCAATTGTGCGAAAAGATAAAAGATTGAGAGCATTGATTTCAACGAAATAACCCTCAAAGCATGTTAACCCAACGCTAGTCCATCAAGGTTATCATGCACATCCCTTGCGTCGTTAAGCATCAACTCTTGATTACGAAACCTCAAAGCATGTTAACCCAACTCTAGTCCATCAAGGTTATCATGCACATCCCTGCATGTTTTTAAACTAAACAAAAAAGTTAATATTCAATTATGTGAAAACATAAAATATTGGGAGCGTTGATTTCAACGATATAACCCTCAAAGCATGTTAACTCAACTCTAGTCCATCAAGGTTATCATGCACATCCCTTGGGTCGTTAAGCATCAACTTTTGATTAGGAAACCCCAAAGCATGTTAACCCAACTCTAGTCCATCAAGGTTATCATCTACATCCCTTGGGTCGTTAAGCATCAACTCTTGATTAGGAAATCTCAAAGCATGTTAACCCAACTCTAGTCCATCAAGGTTATCATGCACATCCCTTCGGTCGTTAAGCATAAACTCTTGATTAAAAACCTCAAAGCATGTTAACCCAACTCTAGTCCATCAAGGTTATCATGCACATTCCTTGGGTCGTTAAGCATAAACTCTTGATTAGGAAACGTCAAAGCATGTTAACCCAACTCTAGTCCATCAAGGTTATCATGCACATCCCTGCATGTCTTTAAACTAAAACAAAAAAGTTAATATTCAATTGTGTGAAAACATAAAATATTGGGAGCATTGATTTCAACGATATAACCCTAAACCCTAAACCCTAAACCTAAACCCTAAACCCTATGTTGGCTTCTTGTCCGGCACAACATTTTTTATCAGGAGCCGAAGCATTTTCGCCTACATGTTTTTAAACTAAACAAAAAAGTTAATATCCAATTGTGCGAAAAGATAAAAGATTGAGAGCATTGATTTTAACGAAATAACCCTCAAAGCATGTTAACCCAACTCTAGTACCTACTAGAAAAAAGGCCTTTTACGACGCTCATTGCGCGTCGTAAAACGCTCAGACGACGCACAAATGCGCTTCAAGGAAGGCCCTGTCATAACGAGAGATGATGCGCTTGTGTGCGTCGTTTATAGACGACGCGCATTTACGACGTGCATTTATGACACGCAATTACGACGCTCATTTACGACACGCAATGCGTATCAAGGAAGGCCCCGTCATAAAGGAAGACGACACACATTCGCGTGTCGTAACCTTACGACGCGCGTGTTAATGACACGCAATGCGTATCATTAAACCCGCTGTCAAGAAAGGCCGTGTCATAAATGAAGATGACACACATTTTTGCGTATCTTAATTGTAAATTTAATAAATATATATATATATATATATATATATATATATATATATATATATATATATATATATTTACTAATTTTCAAATTAAATTTGCATTTCATGTCTCATAATACAAAATAAAATATCATATACAAAAAATACAATCCATTGCACAAAAGTTAATGTCATACAAATACTCATTCTAATATTAGACAAATGTAATACATAAAATGTGAAAGAGATGAAAGTCTTCAACAAATAACAGTTGAGCTAAAAAATACTTGTTGCCCACCTTCACAACATCTCAAGCTACTTTGCTTGTCACTATGCACGTCAACAAGACCTACAAATTTGAATAATGCAACCATTAGATTCACATAAACCAACAAATCCCAATATGTAAGCATGAAATTTATGCATCTATGTTAAAGGGGTAAAATGGTCATTTACAATTCATTCAGAGCAAAAAAAGAACAACTTTTTTCATTTACTACTTACTTCACCATACAGACCTCATTTATCTTAACAAATGCATCATACTGATTATGGCATCGTTAGATAAGTTAAGTGACTAAGTTAAGTAGGTAACTAATGAGACATAAAACCGATGAAATGACTAAAATACCCTTATAGTAAGCATCAGAAGAAGATTAAGTATGACTTTATAAATCGGACCAATATCAATACTTGAACATTGATCAAAAACTTACATGAGAGCAAATCCCATTTTCTCCACAACACCTCTGAGATTTTTCACCATTTTCAAGCTCAATTGGATAGTGTTTCAAGGATCCCGAGCCTCCTACTTTTTGCTCAAAGTTTCCAAGATTCTTAGCAAATGTTGGACCAAAAATGAAAGAAAAAAATGGTTTTCTGAATATATACTTCAATTACTAAGAAAATAGTAAGTCAAAAAACTACAAATGTTCAAAATAAGATGCTAGTAAAGCTTTGCCATAATGGTAAGATGTTATGATATACAGAGCAAATGTAAAATTCAATAAGATGCACATAATAATATTCTTATGATCTTATAAGATTTCCAAATAAGATACTAGTAAAGCTTTTGCACAATGATATAAGATGTCATGACATACAGATCGACACTACTAGAAAACAGCCTTTTACGACGCTCATTGCGCGTCGTAAAAGGCTCAGACGACGCGCAAATGCGCGTCAAGGAAGGCCCTGTCATAAAGAGAGACGACGCGCTTTTGCGTGTCGTCTATAGACGACGCGCATTTACGACGCTCATTTACGACGCGCAATTACGACGCGTGTTTACGACACGCAATGCGTATCAAGGAAGGCCCTATCATAAAGGAAGACGGCATGCATTCGCGTGTTGTAACCTTACGACGCGCATGTTAAATAAACGCAATGCGTATCAAAAAAGCCCCTTTCAAGAAAGGCCATGTCATAAATGAAGATGACACACATTTTTGCGTATCATAATTTGAAATGTTTAAAAAAAATTATTTATAGATTTACTTATTTTCAAATTAAATTTGTATTTAATGTTTCATAATTGAAAATAAAATATCATATACAAAAAATAGAATCCATTGCATAAATTTAATGTCATACAAATAATCGTTCCATAGAAAGATAAAACAAATCAATAGAAGTTCTAACAAAAATTTACAAACAAATTAGATACAAAAAATACAATCCATTGCCCCTTCGCTTATTCAAGATCAACCTGCAAGTAGCTAACTAATCTGTACAAATTCACCCTTGTTTCTAATCATTTTCTTAAATACTTTACAAACATAATTCATCCATACTACCTGAACTATAGTTGCAGCCTTGTTTCTTCTACTTCTGAACTCATCTCTTGCAATCATTGCTCTAAGCCTAGTCTGAATAGATACAACAACTCCTTGTCAATTATGTGAAAAATACAACCAGAGAGTGGCCTACCTTCATAATAGCAACAACTAACGAGGCAGGAATGAAAGAGAAGGCAATACTCACAATAATAGCTGCAATGAATGTATCTAGGTCCTACAAGATCATACAAATCACTATTTAAATACACACTACATATAAAGGTGTCAATATTCTGATTGTTACTAGAACCTACCAACAAACTCTATATGCATGTGGAATAGCAGGTCCAAAAAAATCTATATGCAATAAGCTAATCAGGTTTTAAAAGTGATAAAAATACCTAGGTAGTGTATGCATAGTTCATCAGTAGTTTCAAGGATCAACTGTTCACAGAAGCAATTTGAATTGCTTGATATATGGTCAATGGCTGGAAATAAAACCAAAATAGTAAAATTTTATGGCTTAAATGAGAAAAACACAAAAATATGAGTATGTAACCATATACACTAAATCTAATACAAACATTCTATGAAGTATATGAAACTACATTACCTAGTGAAGTCAGATAAAAAAGGAACGTGCTGCTGATGGCTATGACTTTGCATACTTCATATAAATTTGGATCAAGCTGATCCAAATTGATGGGGGTATTAGAGTGGACTGTTGTGGGTTTAAGAAACTGATGAGACTCTGTTTTAGCTGCTGGTGCGGGCCCACCCCAAAAGGGAAAAGTAACCGGTATGAACTCATAATAAGCTGGAAACATGGCAGCAGCAGCAACAGGGTACCACTTGAATTCTACCAAAAAATTACAATTTTGCCCGAAATCAAACGCTAAAAAAGAATGGTGGGCCTTTGAGGGTGTAGAATATTGATGGTTTTTTTACCTTCGTTCCCACATAAAATGTTACAAGCAAGCCAAAAAGAGTGGGTAGTCCTAGAAAAAGAAAACAAAATTTGATTTTATCAACTCCGGAGTAGATATGTGCAAAAATTTGGGGAAAACAGAAATAGAAATAGAAACCTTCTGTCTGAAGAAATATAGATTTTCGCTAACTTATGCCTGATGGTCCGATGACAAAGCCCACAAGGTTAGCCACGTGCCAAATAGATATAAGGGAAAAATGGTCATTTTCAAATTCTTTTAAACTAAACCAGCATATCCGTGGAAATTGGTCCGATGACAAAGCCCACAATTTTACTTTTTTTCGGTTTTGATTATATATATTATTTAAATTAATTAATGAGTGGAATGATATTAATGCAGGACGCTGAGAAGCAGGGAGGCAGCAAGAAAAGCGATTAAAAGGGTAACTTTTTTGTGAATAAAAATGAGAGTAGTGAGTTAAGAAGTAAGATGCGTAGGTAGGTAGGTACCTGTGAAGATGTAATAATTGTGATGCCCATGTCACGTGCAAGCCGATAAAGGTGCTCTTCAACGTCCACACTTGTAGCACTGAAACAAACATGATATGGCATTAATTCAAATTCTTGATAAACATGAGGATAGCTTAGCTTACTTGGTTCATTCATCTAGGACACCAAACCGAGGCTTCTGAAAGAATAAGTGAGCCTTGAAAAAAAAAAAGAATACAATAGCCGTAGTAATTGATACATATGATAATGATGTGGTGGAAGCTCACCATGCCTAATCTTTGTTGTTCACCAATAGACAAGATGTCTTCCCAGTTCTGACTAGCATCCCACCTCCTTTCTCTTTAAAAAAGGTACAACAATTTCACATTCTCTAGAATCCTTTTTAAATGCATATCCAGAATATTTTCATCAGCAACACCAGCGATCCAGATCAAACATTCATGGACTTCATCCAAAAATTCATGGCATTCATGACCTTCATCTTGATCAAAAACTCCATTCATACACTTAATCCATAACTTATTTAGGGTTTTGAATATTGACAGGATGAGAATGATTGATCAAAAACTCCATCATACCCTTTATCCAGCCTTTTGTCATCAACAGAAGAGACGATCAAAATTTTATGGTTTGGATCCCATTCAACTTGGAAGATCTCCTACATGTCAACCACAACCATGTTTTCATGTTCTTTTATTTTAACTATTGCAAAAATGACTTTATGAATTACATTATTGGTTAATACCCATGAACTGCAATAGATGAAATATATTTAGGCTGGAAAAACAATAAAATAGGTGCTGACATTGGCATTACATCGAACACTTGGCGGACATAATACAAATGACCATCTTACACTGTGTGTTTAAAAAAAGACAATCTATACATAACAAAACAATTGAATGACTAACCTTCTGTCATTGTTGGGATGATAATGCCTTTCAATGCTTTATCTGATTGTATTACTTATTAGAATATATTAAGTTGATTTAACCCCAATTGACTTTACTATACCCCATCTAATGCTCTATCTGATTGTGTTAAGCCATCAGATTAATACATACAACACCTATAACCAAAACATAACCCCAATTATTAGAAAATAGATCAACATTTTCATATGGGTATTGATATGCATTAAAATAAAATGTTTCATAATTGAATATTTCAAAAAAAAATAAACACATGCAAATGTAATATAAAAAACATAGAAAGCACTTAGTTTAAGACCAATATTATGACCAAAATTCTTTACTTCTTCAGTATCACCATTTCTTCCAATCCAGTTTTATACATTAGTTCACAAAACCATAATTTTTGTATACTCATTGACTGATTGACCAAAGTCAAATTGCTTACATTTTGTCAATGTTGCATATGATTTTTATTGCCACTTCTCCTAGATCAGTGGCTCTGGATTTTAGATCTTTTTCACGACTAACTGTTGAAAAAAACACATTTACCATGTGCTGCTAGAAATTCATATCGGTTATCAAGTACATCTCCAAAGCAGTAGCATATATGTGAAAAGGGAAAATGAGGAAATCAAATTACCTGATAATCTTTCCAAGTGGAATAAATAGTTGTGGATCCCTTTCTCTCTCCTATTCCATCAAATGCATCTTTACACCAATGCCATCATTCCTTCTAACTTCAGTCCTGGAGGTGCAAATAGGCCTATCCAATAGCCAATGCTCTCTCAAGCATTTCATCGAACACATGTAGTGCGCTTCTCAAATCCCTTTCTTTCTAGAACACTTATCAAATAACCATAACAAAACACCTCCAGCAACCATCACAAGATTACAAAGCTTCTGAAAGAGAAACCGAAGATTGAGAATTCTAAATCTCAATCTAAAATCAAAATCATAGGAAGAAATCTGAAATCATAAAATCAAATGGGAACAAATGTGTGAAAAAGAAATCTAAAGAGGAGAAACTGAATATTAGCATTACCATAATCAAAAGAGAAACCGAAGGAAGCCACAAATTCTCTCAGTCCCTCCTCCGATTTCTAGAAACCGGTGCATCGTCGTCTGAAACAACTTCTGAATCAATTAGCTTAGGATACCCTTCAATAGTTCCACAGATTTTCTTATGTGCTCGCCTATGTTTAGAACTAGGGTGTGACTTTTGAAACGACCATCCACATCTATGGAAAATATGCCCTGCAAAATCGAAGTAAAATAGCAAACCACCATTAAAATATGTCATTTTCGTAACAGTAATTGAATTCAAAATAAGAAATATAATAACTATTTCATAAATTAACGAAGAGAAAGCCTGAAGAGGTGGTGATTTTGCTCTGATCTTGGGTATCCATGTTTGTATAAAGATCAAAACACAAAAAGGGTTTTGTAGAAGATGAGGAAATGAGGGGAGACTTATTTGAAGAAGATTGGAGAATGTAAGAAGCAAAGTGAAGAAAAAACGATTTTTGAGAAAGCCTTTATAAGGAGTGATATCACCGTCTCTCACCTCCACCAATAAGCTCCATCTCTCTTCGGACCAAGCCATCGGAAAAATCACCTCCACTCAAGCTAGTTTTATGTGTGTGGTGGTTGAATCGGAGAAATTCTCATCTTCGGAGGAAGAGGAGGACTTGGAGTTGAGTTTTTTTTTTGTGTGTGTGTGTGTGTGTGTGGGGGGGGGGGGGGGGGGGGTGATTTGTTGAAGAAGATTAATAGGAGAGTATTAGTAGGAGATAAGGTGTTGGTAGGTTCGATCGATTCAATAGATCGAGGAGGAATGATCAAAAATTTGTCCCAAGTCTATTAGGGTTCTTGGTAGTTCTTCGAGAAGGAAGATGCATCGCAGCAGTCTGAGGCTAGAAGAGACAACGAGGATTGGAGGCAGTGGATGTGGGTGAGGGGTGGAGACGAGGGAGAAGAAGGCGGGGTTTAAAAAATTTGGGGATTTCATTTTCCCTCTAAGGAGACGCGCGTTTCTTAAAAAAAATATAAAACGACATTCATAGAGGACGCACATTTTAGATAAAGTGCCCTCCGTGTTTTTTTAATTTTTTACATGAGACATTAATTTAAGGGCACGCAATAATGCGTGACGTAAATCCTTAAACTTTTTGAAGAGATGACACTTTGTTAATGTCACTCTCTTTTACATAACATAAATCAATGAGTGTCATGGTTTGCGCGTCGTAAAAGGGTCTTTTTCTTGTAGTGCGAATTTCAAGATTCAATAAAATGCAGAAAATAATATGTTTTAGGGTAAATTATAAAAAAATGGTCCCTGAGCTTTCTGATTTTCCCATTTTTAGATCAAAATTGAAACATTTGTCAGCTTTTGTTCTTATTTTTGTTCCAATTACAGATTCTTTTCTCTTTCCAATTCATATTTGTGTTTCCATTCTATAGCCTCAGGTTGAGCAGCAGCTTTAGCTTCTGCTGCTTCTCTTAAAACCTTGCCAACTGCTTATGAGTGACATAAACCACAAGGATCAGACACGAACCTTATTATTAACAAAAGCATCCTACTTTTATTTCACCCAAATGAAGCAATCATACTTCTCATGGCTATCGAAAACTCCACAAGTTGATCTTCAATCCCATCAACAAGTGGAAGTGGTTAATCATCAATTTCTTTTACAACTTTCTCTAAGTTTCCAAGAGGAAGGAAATCATTTACACCATTCTCATGTACAAGATTATGTGCATTCACCTGTTCAAAATTGAATGAAAATTCGAAAGAGAGTAAGTATAAAATAGAGAAAAGGGCTCTACAAATGTTAAAAGGCAACACATATACTTGAGCCTATCATAGCATTCCATAAATATTCAGCCATATTTTGAACTTAATGCTTCAAGACATATTATTGAAACATTCAGCCATCTTTTGAACTTAATACTCAAATTCTATTTATAGCATTTCCTGTTAATAAAGAATTTGAAACTTGGCAGTACCTTTTTGTGGTTATTGTGGGATTTCTTACCTATACCCATCTTGTAAGGTCTATAACACAGGGCCAATAACCAATTCAAACTTTTCCTTTGTTAAAACTACACAAACTACATCACCTAAAGCAACAATATGTAAAGAATCAACGTATTCACCAAGAAGTGTCCATTCTCCAAAATACCCCCCTTCACTGAACATTGCTATGTCATAACCACAGCATGAGAAGCACCATCTGTCATAACCACACAAATATTTTCAACTGGGAATCCAATCAAAAAACCCCTGCACATATACAATTAAAAGAAGTTGAGTTTTTTTTATAAAAAGATATAAAGGTAATAAAACAAACAGAAGTATGATTAATAATAATAAGAACACTTACGAATTGGCAGCTTCCATGAAACATTTCTCAATGTGAGGGATAAAATTGGGAGGGTATAGCCTGTCCTATTATCATGTTCTCAAATTCAAATTTCGTCTCTGATTCAGCTGGCAGTGGCTTTATATACCTATCATTTTTTTAAAGCAAAATATTAAGAAAAAACAGATCTGGATTGTATAATCAATTGACCTGAGAAATTACCAACATGAAACCATTAAAACTGAAGAGAAATTTGATAGAAAAAAGTATAGTTGAGTATCAAGAATTCAAGATTATGTCCCCTTGAAATGTTGGTGCTTTTAAGCAAATCAGGAAGCATATCAGAGTTACTGTGATAAAGTAACTTGTCAACAACAGATAGACACCCATAACAGATATATAAATCCACCCCAGAATCAACAACCTGTTCAGAAATGAGAAGAAAAGAAAGGGTATATCATGGAAATTGTAAAAGTTAGCAAGAAATCAGTACAACATGATTGACAAATGATAACCAACCTGGATCAAGACATGTAATAAATCATTCCCAAATTTCTCTACAAGATCAGGATGTGTCACCAAGAAAGCTTCTTTTTCTGCAGCTAATGGAACTTCTTGATTTCTGGATACAACGGGTAGAAGTTGAATCAACAACTTCAAAACTTCATGCATTTGATTATAATGTCCATCAATTGTTCGAGGGGAAGGGACTCCATGTGAAAGGTCATATATTGAAAAGATCTCTTTCAAAATTCTACATATATTAAGATCAAAAAGTGTCTTCACAGCCACCATAGAACCAGAAGTAAGTTTAACAAGTAGTCCAATTAAACCCTACATAAAAATACACAAGAGTTCTTAAAAAAGATTGGAAAAAAAATTGCTAAAAATAGAAGAAGATGGACATACGGTATGAACAGAATAAGATAGAGTGGTATGGTTGATCAGGTCTATAAGATATGCCACTTGATGAATCAATCCATGTTTAGAAAGTTCATCAAGCATTTCACTGGATTCTTGTACTCTTTCTACTATTTTAATTAAGCATGTAACAACATGTTCAACAAGCTGCAATCGCAAGAATATGCCAGTAAAGTACAAATGATTATAAGAAAGACCATAATTATATTTATACCTGATTGTCTTAGCTGCAATCACAAGAATCAGAAGATGTTGAAATCAATGAGGTTTTTGAAGCTTCTAGAGCGATCTGCCTTAGCTGGCGTAAAGCCTGCACATATTCAATTTTTTATTAATTAAGTAAAATGACATAAGGGTATATTTGGAAACGTTATGGATTTAAAATGTTGTATTACCATCATTGTTGTTTTTTTGAGTGAGAACAGTTGGAGATCATATAAAGGACGCAAGACTTTAGGTACCCTCCATGCCTAATGAATGATATAATAAAGTAATTTAGAATATAAATGGAGTTTAAATATGAATATATTTGAATCTAGATATAGTATATAGTAAAATGACATAATGATATAATAAAGTAATTTAGAATATAAATGGCTGCTTACCTCTACATTAACTTTGTCAAAAAGCTCAAGCTTAAGATCATACTCATGCTGACCAGCTGAAGCAGATAACGTAAAAACACCTTCAGGAGCAAGATTCACTTTTTCATCTTTTGTATCCGCCAATAAAACTGTGATATAAAATTTATCCTCTCTCTGAGCCCACTTAATTTCTGGATGACGACTACAAAGCTCAATATATTTTTGAATTTATTAGGATACACCAATCATTGAACAAAGCACAAGCAAGCATAAATATGTAAAACTAAATAAATCAACTGTTTTCTAATTCCCACCATTGCAACACAGAGAACCCAATTCTTGTGCCCTGAATAGATATGTAAAAATATAACAATTTGTTTGGCTTTTGTGATTATGAAGTTATGATAACAACCATCATATTCACTACAGGGAACTTGGCTTCAGTGAAACTGTATACCACTTACGATTGTGAGCTGAAAGAGCAGAATCTGTAACTGCAAATTGAGTAGAAAGAATAACAGATATTTTATGAATCAAAATTGTGTTTACAAAAGACAGAAGCAGTATAAGAAGAAGAAATCAGAATAAAATTGTACCTAAGTGTTAAAGAGTGAGCCAGTGACCGGAGAAACCGCCTGAAGGGGCTACCAACGCTGTGAGATGATAGAATCGACAGATGACGTGATTCTCTCATCTGTATGAACTCAAAAAGAAACAAACGTTACCTCTGTTTTACATTTTCCAAACCAAACATTGTGGATTCGTCATTGGATCAATCGAAGTGCACATACACAACATTTATGAAAAAACCCTAAGTCGTCGGTGTCCTAGTCGATAACTTGTACCAAAAAACCCTAAATCTCTATGAGAGAGGAGTGAGGCCTGAATCACTTTCATTGAGATGGGATATCTTGAAGCAGAGATGTATAGCAGTCTGATAGGGTGGGGATTCTATTGTTCGTGTTTTTCTTGTTGTCAGCTATCTGCGTCTACTGATTCTTGGTGACCGGCAAAGGAGGTGACATCGAGGGTGGATGGCCGGTGGGTTTTGATCGGAGTTGACAGAGAACAGCGGGTACAGACCTAAAACTGAAACCTAGCTAGTAGCATCAAGGCGAGTATCAAACCGAGAAGGAGAAATTAGGTATGAAATCTTCACACATAGACAAGAACATAAAACCCTTACACTGGGTAATCGATGTAGAATTATGGTTTGATCAACATCCGAGTAGATTACAATAACTACATTCTATAAAACAATCAGAAATTGGGGGCTTATAAGGAAAAAGAAACTCCTCAATTGAGTTGTAACACTCGAGTAGCTGTGAAACCATTTAATCCGAACAAAATTATGTTAATTACACAATTGTCTCTCAGGTGGGTGTTTGAAACCATTAGGCAGATATCGTCGTCGGCCCCCTTTCGGCAACTGTACAACCCATCAATAGCATAACTAAATAAAATTATAGGATTGGTGATGATATTAGGGTTTTTTTGGGTATTAGAGTGATATATATATATATATATATATATATATATATATATATATATATAGAGAGAGAGAGAGAAAGAGAGAGAGAGGAGAGAGAGATAGAGATGGAGATAGATAGAGAGAGAGATAGAAAAGAAAGATGGAAATAAGGAAGAGGATAACAATGGCGGCCTTTCAAACTTTTGGCATTTTCGTTTCCCCCCGCTGCAAAAGAAGAGAGCGCGCCTTTCAATAAAAAAATATAAAGCGACATTCCTAGACGACACCCATTTTTAAATCGGTGCCCTCCGTGTTTTTAATTTTTTTTGTTGGACAATAATTTTAGGGCACGCACAAAAGCGTGTCTTCTATCCTTCAAATTTTAGAAGATATGACATTATTTTTAGGGCACATGCTTTTGCGTATCGTAAATCACCGCGTGTCATTGTTTGCACGTCATTAAAGGGCTGTTTTCTAGTAGTGTGTAAATATTAAAAGGTTATCATTTTGTTAACAGGTCAAAAGAAATGAACCTTTTCTCTTACTATTTTCTCAGCTCCAAGATGTTTCACTTTGAAGGCCCACGAAAAGATTTTGATGAGGTTTTGTTAGCTTTGTCAAAGCTTGACTTAAAAACTAATGGCAATCCAAGTCTACAAAAAAAAAAAAAGAAAGCAACATGATTTGTCTTATATCTGTCAAACTCAAGCATATATGCTTATTTACATATTACAGATATAAGAATAAAGAACATACTTTGAAGTGATAGCCTTGATTTGTTTGGCCATATGTAAAATATGTTCTTCAGATTCAATAACATTGGGACCAGCTAGCACAAAGAATGGTTGTGCTCTTTGTAATGGTTGTAGCAATGAGTCATTAAGCTTAATGCTTGTTAAGAAACCTACTTCAAACTTAGATCAACGAACAAGGTAAGATAAATCTGTTAAAGGCCATTCTAAAAGACATTTACTATTAGTCCAAATGATTGTTCTATAATTTATTGACCTTTTCCAGTCATATCTTTTGTCTCTTTTCTATACTGGCCTATACATTCAACCATCAATTTCCTTAAAATGGATCAACAATTCATTTTTTGGAAATAATTGTCTTCTAATATCCAATTATTAATTCATTTCACATATCTCAGCCACTCGTGTATGCAGAAAGACTCAATTGCCCTTATTATGTGAGATACTCATATTTCTATCAAGTATTGTTTAGTTGTAAACTTATAATATAATAACACCATAAGCCATTAACATGGAAACATTAACTTATGATGATAGTTTAACCTGAAAATGTCTCTGTGAAGAAAAAAGAAATTTTCCTTGCAGCCGACTCACATGAATTGAACCATGAACTCAATTCCACTCCAAATCCTGCGTACACATGGCCCTGATGTTATACAAGACAAAAATTTAAATAACAACACACCACCATGGAAGGTAAAAACTTTCATTAGTTAGTTGCGTCAGTGACACAAAATTTTCAGGCTTGAATCACAAGAATACAATATGATATGACCACGCCAATCAACAATAGCATTAGCTTTTTGCAAATCCATTATTAACACTGGACCACTGATAAGTAACAAGTTATAAAGATCATAAGGCCATGGGTTAATTTTAGCATCAAATATACTAAATTGGCAACCATTTTTACTCTAGTGGACCTGATGGTAGATTAGATATACTATAGTTTATCAATAGTAAATAATCAACAACACAAAGGGCTTCACAAATTTTCAAATTTTTAACTGGGCATAAATGCTATAAATGGAAATCCCTCTTAATAAATAATCGCAAGAAGTGAGTCATACTGCTTAATCAATGTGGTTCAGATTGGATCAAAAGTCAGCTGAATACATAAGTAGAAAATATATGATATTTTCTGAGCATGCTAGTTTGATTTCCTAGTGTGTTGAGTCATTTCCTCACATAGAAAATAAAGTAGTACCACATAGAATTCTTCTATGAATCTCAGTATTAAGAAGTAAAAGGTATTATTGAAAAGAAAATAAGTAGAGAAATAGGATTTATGTTACAATAAACCATACTTTCATAAATACAGAGACTACCAAGATTAAGAACAATCAGTTTAGACTGTAACAAAAAGTCTGTTGAAATCACCCTGTGAAAATCAATAACAAATTTAAAAAAAAAAACATTTCTATTATGAATATAAAAATGTTATTTATTTTAACTAAGTTTAACCTTGGAAAAAATCTTACACAACAGATAAAAAACTCAAGAATTTGTAATATTCACATGAAAACTCAAGGAGACACTTAACATGTGTGTACATAGAACAGATTTGGGAGTTTTTTTTTGGTACTTATAGCAGATTTTATAAATTTTACAGATGTGACTCAACATGAAACTTCAAATTGTGCACAATGAACTAAAATAAGTAATGTTCAACCACAAAGCATCAAAATAAGGATGGAGAAAGATTTGGGAAAAAACTAGGATTAAAAGAGAAAAGGGAAGAATATATATACCAGCAGAGTGCAGCGACAGAGGTGGTAGCGTGGAGCAATGGAGGTGGCAGCGAGGAGAAAAGGCCGGTGAAGAGTGAAGGCCAGAAGGGACGTCGGAGGCGATAGCAAGAGGGAGGAATAAAGAGGCACAATCAATGAAAGGGAAGCAGATGAAGGCGTGAGAATAAAATGCAGGTTAAATATGTATTTAGGATACAAAAGCGTTACTTTTAGGTCTGTTAGGCAAAGTGGTCAAAAAGTCTTTTTTGGAGTATTTTATATTCCCAAACACACCCTAAGTCTATAACGACACACCACTCATAAAAGTAAATCCTGTAAAGGTGGAAAAGTTTAAATCAAATAACTAGAAATGATTCCTAAAAATAAGCTTAACTACAAATGTTATAGATACCAACCTCTCATCCTGAAAGAAACAAAGCACGCAATAAGATAGTAGTAGAGAAAGTCATATGATCACGTACAAATAAAGTTCTACAACTTGACTTGATATACATACACTTGTCAGGTACCAAGCAGATCTTCTCTTCAACCTAAAAAAAGTTATAAAATCAATAAAAATTTGAGAAAACTATTTTAAAAGGTAAAGATTACTCACAACCACAAGGGTAAAGAATGTAATTACCTGTAGTTTTGTTATCAATCCCTTTTTCTCTTCTTCAAATTCTATAATCTAAAGATCATTAAAAAAATAAATATAAAAACATTAAAATAACATTGGAAATCAGATTTGACAGAAAAAACACTGGAAATCCCAAGAGATGAAGAAGAAGACAGAGTAATATCGGAAACCCAATGACAAGAAAAACAATGAAATAAAAACACTGGTTCATACATTATTTGTGATTTACAGCTAAAAACTACATCTCAGTAACAAATAATCCCTAAAGAAATAGAGTATAATAAAGAGTTAAAAGATGATAGCAGACCTAGAATCCCTGCAAACCAAAGACCATAATTTTCAACCAAATAGCCAGAAACCTTCTCCACCTAGGATTAAAATGGTTAGCCATTATCACCATTACGTTGTTGACCATGAATCCCAATATTTTTCCAATTCCTCAGATAAGGAACATTCGAATGAAGTCAGATAAGGGCATAAAAACAAAATCCTCATTTTTGAAGTCCTAATGCAACTATTACAGTTCCTAGAACAGAGAAAATTAAGTTTTACAAAAAAAAAACAAATGAATAGATGAAGAGGAAAGAATGGATATTACGAGAAACCCTGATGAAAAGAAAGTGAATAATATAAAAAGAACACCGAATAAGCCTTAAATTCTTCCTTGCTGGTGTAAGATTACGTAGAATGAGAGGAGAGACGTATGTGAGAATGCAGAGAGCCCCAAATTAATATAATAAAATGATAAAGTAAGAGAAAGAAACCTAGGGTACATACATTGAGAAGAAGAGAATGATATTCAAACCTGGTGCCTCTTCCATTTTCGTTTCCTAATTTCCGATACTTCCAATCTGACCATGAACCTCCGACTTCTAATCCCAAATCTGACCTTCAACCTTCAATTTCTGATCTTTAACCTCTAACTTGAGACCTATAGTTTCGAAACCCTAGAACTGAACTTTCGACAAGGAAGAGCGGATATCGTTGTTCCGCCTGAACACGCTGATATAAAAGCGCTAATTCTTAGGTGCGCACTTGTGAGGTCTAGAACATAAAATCCGTAGTCCTTCATTGATATCGGGGACAAAAAAACCTTAAAATCACCGGTGTTTTGAGTGTGAGGAGTCGTAGACCCCAATCACCATCTCCATGAGTTCAGATCCCTGGTTGCAGAATGCGTACGAGTCAATGAGTAAAGAAAATGCATAACACCAGCCCCTATAATGGCTTACAACACTGAGAAAATGATTGGAAACATCCAAACAATTGTCATCGCGAGGCATTCGATCATGAAAGCAAAAGCAGTTCTGCTATGAAGACGAAGGCCCTAGGGCTTTTTCTTGCTAATTGGAAGAGGCGGGGGGTTTAATTTTTGGGATCCAATAGGCGGATAAAATCCCGCTTAAAACACGTGTTCCATTAAAAATTATAAAGCAACACACTTAGATGGCACACATTTTATGAAAGGCGCCCTCCGCATTTCCATTTTTTTCTTTTCTGACACTAATTTTAGGGCACACACAAATGCATGTCCACTATCCTTCATATTTTGAAAAATTGACATTATTTTTTAGGGCACACACAAATACGGGTCCTCTATCAGCGCGTGTCATTGTTTGTGCGTCATTAAAGGGCTATTTTCTAGTAGTGCGTTGGCATTACAACCACTATTACCACTAAACCTCCCTCATCATCTCCTTCAACAAATTCTGAGCCTATTCTAGGAGGTGCAAACTTTGAATTTGACTCCACTTATTATTGTCCTTATCGACTTCCCAGTGAAGATGATGATGAAGCTCCGGTGACAAGGCAACATTTACAGAGTCTTCATGAAAAGCTTGACAAATTACTTCCTTCCCCATCATCTTACTCTAATGTGGTGTTGAAGGATTTTTCTTGATACTGCTCTTCAGAAATATACAATCTCTATCAACAAATCAACTGATGCTGTAAAATCCACCACATCTTCTTGCCCGAAAGCGACATCAAAAGTGATAGAACTTGTTCAAGAATCGAAAAATTTTCTGGACTCGTTCAAGGGCCATGCTGATTCGAATGCAGTGAAAGTTAATGCTTCTGTTGATTCCCTCTCCAAGTCTCGTCAAGAGGATAAACTGAAATTTGATTATGTTCGTTCTGAACTTCAAACTGACCTGGCCATGGATAACAAGATTAAGGACAGACTTGCTCAAAGGAATACACCACTTGAAGTCCAATCTACTCATATTGCTCAAGCTCAAAAGGAGATTACATCACTTAAGACTGAGCGGGCTGTTCTTAAAAGCTGTGCTGGGGATGTTCTCTCGATTCTCAGTAATCTTGTTAATGCTCATGATCCTGTTCTCACCCTTACTATCCGTAATCACTTGACTGCCAAACTTCTTCCTGCTATTCAGATGTTGAGTCAGATTTGGGGTGTTACGAAGCCTGTGGTCAATCCGCAACAAGGGAGAGAAGCTCAAAATCCTCCAATTCTATCCAAAATCATATTCTAAACCGAACCGAAGGTTAATGTGACTTCGGCTTCTAGTTATGAACAACTGAAGCGTGTTGTGGAAGATAGTGATGATGATTAAGAAGAAAGGTTTGCGGAGGCTTTAAAGAGGAAGAACAGGAATAATGAGATTGATGAAAACTTGAGAATAGCCAGAGGGGAAGAAGAGAAAGAGCGAAAATAGAAAGAAGCTCATGATGCTCTGGTTTGCAAGCATGCTCTCTCTCCCACTTGGAGTCGGGAAAGATTAATAAAAGAAGCGATTGAGTCTCCCAGCATTCATTGGTTGGAACCTGTTACCTCGTTTGATTGTGAAAATATGAGGGACTCGCAGTTTGGAATGCCCATCACTTGTAGGGCATTCGTGTTTCATTGTTTTGATCCAACGGTTGAAGTCCCTTCTCCTCACCCAAAGGTTGATTAAGATCTAGTCAATTATTATCTTGAATTCGCTCAGCCTCAATACTTGACATGGAGTGCTCAGAAAATAACCTCTGTCAAAGTATTTAAACCAACTGTTTCTGGGAAATTCATTAATGTGAAGTTGAGGGTGACTCAAGGTTCTGATGACTCGGTTCACATGATTTCGTTAGCTGATCTTCCAAATCTGAACCCACACGACTGGATTCTGCTGTGTTGGAATGATATTCCTTAAAGATCGATAGATTCAAGCAAAATAATGAAAGACAAATCAATAGATAAAAAAATAAAGAAGACTGAAATGGTTTAACCGGTGTTGAATGATTAAAATTTAACACCTCGGAAGAGCTCGATTAAGAACTTCGACTTTAGAGGTGTTTAGGGTTACAAAGTAATAAAGGGAATAATAATGACTGTCGTATCTATGGCATACATGCATGCACTATAAATAAGGTAACCCTAATCTAAAATCACGGATGGACCGGCGGAATCCGGATATACAAAAATGAGCCTATGACGCAACACAAAATACCCAACAATCTCCCCCTTTGTGTCAATGGAGCCGAGAGCTCAGTTCTGTTGAGCAACCGAATATTTCTTGAAAGTCTTGAACACGTTCGGTATAATGTCCAAAAGAGTTTGTCTACAAGTAATGTACCACTGAATCATGCCTGTGAAATTCTTCTTGTCTGACTCTCTGTTCTACTTACACTGGTGAATGATATCGAGAATATGCTTCAAGCAGGCTGTTGAGATCAAATGCTTATCAACAAGAGCGAATAAGAATTTTTCACCTTCGGCTCTTGTAAACATGACTGTAAGATTTGTGGAGTCGATTTGACCAAGCTTCATTTCGTTCACATCACTTGGTTTTCCAGTAGACTTCACAGTTGGTCTTTTCCTTAAAAGGAGAGCCACCTCTTGATCGATTTTGGCAACTTCAAGGATATAAGAGGCCAACATCCTCTTAAGATGATTGAGAATCGGCTCACACTCCTTCACACTTGTAAGAAAAATGTTAAACAATAAAATCCAATCATGAGGATTTAGATTGGGAAGATCTGCTAAGGAAATTATATGGACTGAGTTGGTTGAACCCATGGTTATTCGAAATTAAACATTCACAAATTTTCCTTTCAGGAGAGGGTTTCATCACCTTGACTGTTGTTATCTTCTGTGCACTCCACGTCAGGTATTAGGTTGACCAAACTTGAGATAGTAGTCAATTAGATCACGATCAACCTGAGGATGAGGAGAGAGGACTTCAACTGTAGAATCAAAACACTGAAAAACAAATGCCTTTCTGGTTATAGGCATGTTGAATTGTGAGTCCCTTGTGTTGTCACAAACAAAAGAGACAATAGGTTCCAACCAGTACATGCTTGGAAACTCGATTGCTTCTTTGATCAGACCCTCCCTAGTCCATGGAGGAAACAGAGCCTTTTTGCAGGCAAGAGCATCAAACTCTTCTTTCTTCTGTCGTTCCCTTTCTTCCTCTTCCCTTGCAACATGAAGGTTTTCATTTATCTCCATATCCCTTTTCTTATGTTTCAGGGCTTTAGCAATAGTTTCTGTATCTTCAGCACTATCATCATTTCCATCAATAACACCTTTCTTCTTCTCTTGACTACCAAAACCTGAAGCTACATTATCCTTCAGTTCGGTTTTAACAATCATTGGTTTCACAGTAGGGAGAACAGGAGGAGCTTGGGATCTACCTTCTCCCCCTTGTTGCGAAGGAACAATATTCCCCGAAACACCCTTCATTTCTCGTAAAAGTTCAATCGCCGGAAGGAGCTTGGAGGTGAGGTGATTTTTGATAGTAAGAGTGAGAATTGGATCATGAGCATGAACCACATTGTTCAGCATAGTAAGAAAATCACCAACACATCTTCTGAAAACCGCATACTCGGTCTTCAACAGAGCAATCTCTCGTTCTGCTTTTGCAAGTTCAACCTTCTATACTTCAACTATAGTGGATTGTTGAGCAAGATCTTATCGGAGTTTGAGTTCCAATGTCAAATCAGCTTTAAGTTTTTCTAATCGAGAATTAACTGACGACAAAAAAGTCTTATTTTTGGTTAGAATATCAGAACGAACCGTCTGAAGCTTGACTTGCTCTCCTTGAAGTGACTAAGAAAGAGAATCAATGGAGGCATGCACCTTGGCTGCAGTTGTATCAGAATGACCTTTGAGAGAGTCTAAGAAAACCTTGGAGTCCTGAATGAGTTCTTTGATATCACATGTGGCTCTTTTGCATAGAGAAGTAGAGTCATCCACAACAACCGTGTATTTATCAATAGATTCATGATATTGTTGTAGAGTTGTATCCATGAATGCTTTCAAAACAACATCATTATACTTCTTTGTTAAGTCAATCAGCGCATCGAGCTTTTCATGAACACTATGCAGGTGTTGCTTGGTCACTGGAGCAGCTTCATCTTCATCACTTGGACTTTTGTATGGACTATAGTAGGTTGAATCGAATTCAATGTCAACGCCTCCAAGAACTGGACCAGATTCACCAGAAGGAGTTGGGGAAATTGGATTGGTTGTAAATTTTGGATTATCTTCAATATTTTCCCCCATATCTTATGTGTTGACTTGGATTGGAGATTCAGTTGTGATTGGGATGAACGGTGTAGAGGTGGTTGTTGCTTGGGAAAAAATGGGAGTTGGTAGTGGGGTTGTGGATATGGGTATTGAGCTAACAGGTGGAGGTGGTGGAATAGTAGAAGTATTTTGAGTTGTAGGAGTTAGAGTAATTGGGGCAACCGAAACTTGAACGGTAGTCTTCAGTGCTGATGGTGGAGAGGTGATGGTGTCTTTGGTTTTCAGGCCATCTTCATAACTTCCTTGGGAGCCGAGGAAGCAGCTTTTTCAGCTTTTCTCTTCTTGGATTTGACTGGCTTGGAAGAAGGATCCTCAGTTTCCACATTCTTGGAATCGGATTTCTTTCCTCGCTTGGCTGGTTTTTCAACGCCATCCAGAGCAGCTTGCATCTTAGGAGCCAATTGTCGAGGATTCTTGGGAGGAAGCAATCGGTACTCGACCATCACTTTACTTTTAGCAGAGACACATCGATACATGGTTTCGGAAATAGAACCATTGTGTGGAAATTTTGTTGGATCAGCAACAATAATCTTCTTGGTGTGAAAGGTTGCTATTGAAGAAAGCACAGCATCCTTCATGACAGGGATCTGGAGAGAGTTGATAGTCCGACGGGTAACTAGGGTCCGGAAACAACCACAAGAAACTTCAAAATGTTTGGTCAAGGAGTTCAAACTCTATTCCAGTTGAGACCATATCAAGGAACCATAATCCAAGTTAATGTCATTATAGAGACCATACATAATGGTCATAAAACAC